TGTCTGTGTATACTTTGCTAGGAGAGACAACTTCAGGATTCCCTTGCAGTCCTATTCACATGTATTCAGTCATGTGAATAGGACTGCAAGGGAATCCTGAATTTGTCTCTCAGAGTGAAGGCATGTGATAGGAGATCAAACCTTTTGACTTCATTTTTTGAAATGCAATTTGAAAGGGCATTGTGACAAGAGAGGGAGTTCAATCAGAGTCCATACAGATGTTCAAACGGCTACTAGATGCATACTTGCAAGAACAGAATATTCAAGGATATAATCTTTCAATGTAGGGTAATAACTGCTTGATCCAAGGATAAATCTGACTGCCATTCTGGGGTCAAGAAGGAATTTTTTTCCTAGCTTGTTGCTAAATTGTGCTTCAAACTGGGTTTTTTGCCTTCTTTTGGATCAACAGCAAAAAACTAATGTGAGGTAGGCTGAACTTGATGGACGCAAGTCTCTTTTCAGCTATGTAACTATGTAACTATGTAACAATATAAGAAAGGTGGGGAGATTAATGAAAATGAAGGGGAAGCAACAGAAAAGAGGTGAAGAGAGACACGGTGAGCATTGAAAACAATGAAAGAGACATACGTATAATAAACAATATGGGAAGCACTGGAATAATGTAAACAGAGATGTCAATAGCAAACATTTTTTTTTTTTACATTGCATTTTAATAGATTGTAAAACGTTCAATGTTTAATACAGCAGTTACAGAGACTACCTTTTTAAACAGATACGTAACAAAGTTGGCTGGTGGTTAACTGCAATAAATTCAAATATTCTACATATGAACAACATTCATTGAGTATGTTAAAAATCAAACTGGAAAAATACATAATTTTCCATTAATTTGGGGAATGTAATGGATGTGCTAAAGAATTTCAATAATATAAATAAATATAAGTATATTATTCCATATCAACACCTTTGCACTTTCTGAATAATAGACGCGTTCAGTTTTCACTTAGAAGCAGCAGACTCAAGGGTGTAGAACATTTGGATGTATAGTGTTTTTGTCATTTGAGAAGGAATATCTGGATGTTCCCAAATCAGAATGCATGCTAAAAACTGAACATGCATAAAAAATATGTTGGCATGGAAGCAAGCATTGTGCATATGCAAATATTCAGAGGTAAGTCATGATGTGACACCTTTAAGAGAGCAGAGCTGTTACCTAATCATACCATCTGTTATGTGTCCCTTAGAATGTTGCAATTGTGTGGATGGATGGATGGATGGATGGATGGATAGATGGGTGGATGGGTGGATGGATGGTTAGATGGATGGATGGTTAGATGGATGGTTGGATTGGATGGATGGTTAGATGGATGGTTGGATTAGATGGATAGATGGCTAGACAACATCAGTTTGGGTTTTAAAAGATTTTTAACACTAAATAGACTGTAGCTCTGCAGTCAGCTTTCCAAAGAACTGTTTCTCCATCTGCTACAAGTAAGCATTGGATTCTCTGTTTTCATTCTATATTCCAGGAATTTAGTGACAGGGAGAGTGTTATAACTTGTCTATGAGTTACCGTGAAGTGTTGCCAAACAGAAGAACTCATGGTCAAAACTGACCTCTTACTTAGGGCAAGATTATTTTAGAGAGATAATATCTCTGCTAATTGAAATATGAACACATATGAATTATGTTTACCTCTTTTCTAAGAATCTATCATTTAATGTATATCTGTACCAGGTCCTAGAACTACCTTGTGTATTAAATGTGTTTTTTCTTTGTAAGTTCTTTTATTTGTAATATCTTGCTCTTGCAACTGTGTTTCTGCAGTAAATACCAATTCGCAGTGACTTGAATATTATTTCATAAGATTTAAGCTAAAATAGTCAAACTGATATTATAGCTGAGTTATTTTCTGGCTAAAACAATCTAAAACCAACTTCAGAGCTGTGCGGACACCCACAGATGGGCAAGCTTATTGAACTGTTATCCATTCTCAGTATTTTCTTGTGCTCTATGTTGGTTTGTTTGAAAAATCGACCCGCTTGGATCCATGTTTTTATTTAATAAGCTCTGTTTAAAACAGTGTTCATTGTTAAAGGACCACTATAGTGCCAAGAAAACATACTCGTTTTCCTGGCACTATAGTGCCCTGAGGGTGCCCCCACCCTCAGGGACCCCCTCCCGCCCGGCTCTGGAAGGGGGAAAGGGGTTAAAACTTACCTTTTTCCAGCGCTGGGCGGAGAGCTCTCCTCCTCCGATCCTCCTCTTCTCCTCCCCGTCGGCTGTATGCGCACGCGCGGCAAGAGCTGCGCGCGCGTTCAGCCGGTCACATAGGAAAGCATTCATAATGCTTTCCTATGGACGCTGGCGTGCTCTCACTGTGAAAATCGCAGTGAGAAGCACGCAAGCGCCTCTAGTGGCTGTCAATGAGACAGCCACTAGAGGAAATAGGGGAAGGCTTAACCCATTCATAAACATAGCAGTTTCTCTGAAACTGCTATGTTTATGTAAAAATGGGTTAACCCTAGCTGGACCTGGCACCCAGACCACTTCATTAAGCTGAAGTGGTCTGGGTGCCTAGAGTGGTCCTTTAAGGGTGCCTGTAGAAATACAACAATGAAGTTTGAAAGCATAATACTTGTCTGAGCTCATTTGCATGTTGAGTGGTGAATTCAGGAATTATTATGAAAGCATGAGTATTGGGAATGAGGCAGACTTTCCAAAGGTTCAACTTGAGATATGCATGTGATGCACAGTAATTTTTGAATTTGAGTCAAATTTGGGGACATTTTGTCATGTTTGGTCACACCACAACTTATTTGGCACATATGTAAATATATTCAAAATTGCATGGTAAAACTCTGGCCCCAAATGAAAATAATAAGAGCCATCTTTTTAAATGATTTGTTTTCACTCTCCATTTGTACTGACAAGCATTTGCGTAGTTACAGTTGGTGAGGTTGATAAATACGTACATGACTGGATTTAGCTTAACTTTTGCCAGACTGTCAGTGGTTTAAATAACCAAAGTGTAAAAAACATCACGGAGAGAGCCTTAGGTGTATTTTTCTGATAAGAATCTCTCTACATGACCTAAAACAGCATTGAGGGATTTACACCTTCACACAGAGATATCTGCCTCATTAGCTCACAGTTACATATCACTTTCAGTGTACAGCTCACATACAGACTACAAATGCGGTAAAATCCTAGTATCTCATTACATTTGGCTGATCTGACTCACAATCACCTTTTCTGCTTATGATGTATGATATGGTTTCATATTCCTAGCTGGCATCCACACGGTTTTCAGATCACTAAGAAAATATTAAGCAAACAAAAGCAGTTATTTTGTGTCATGACCATAAAGTGACCTATTCAGTAAACCCCATGTTTTGGAAATTAAATTGGCAAATAGATTTCTACAACCTAGGGCCTTTAACTTCAAATTATGCTATTTTATGTAATTTTGTAAAAATTGTAATCCATACATTCTTAACAATGTATTCATTTTAAGGTTTAGTATTCCGTATCTGAAGTCAAATAGGTATACCACAAAATGTGTTACACAAAGTTTATCCAACCTTAGTACTTGTAGGATTAATATGCTGGAGTATGCATTTTAACGTCATAGATCATGATATAAGATTTCAGGTCACATTAACTCACCATCAAATCTTGATTTAGTGAATAAATCCCAGACTTATCTCCATTGATAAACAAAGAAAAGAACCACTTATTATTGACAACCTGTCAAATTAAATTATGCATGCCGAAAAGACATCTGGCCAGTCTGAGCCCTGGAATTGGTTGGTCCTTAGCATACAGTTATACATATGTGTGCACACGGGGTGTGCTGGGTGTGCCTGGGCATACCCTAATGCCAGCGGCACGCCTCTGGATTGAGACCGGCAGGGGAGATCTCAGTATCCCCCCTGTTGGCTCATGCAGAGCCGGCGCTATCTGAGCGCCGGCTCTGCTCTAAGCCTCCCCTCACCGACCCACAGGCAGTGAGGGAGGCAGGAGAGGACCCGGGTAGCTCTTGCCAGCAGCTCCGCCGCGTTCCTCTCGCGAGGTCAGAGCATTGCCGCGGCTAGAGTACACTCTCCACTGGACCACCAGGGAATGGATGGCAGCATCAGCAGGATCCCCCCCTCCCAGGCATAAGGTATACATGGAGGGGGGATATTTACTAATCACAATACACACAATCACCCAAACATACAGCACACACACACAGCATCTACACACATACAGCACACAAACAGCACCCACACACACACACACAATTCACAAACAGCACCCTCACACATACATCACCCTTACACACACAGAACCCTCACACACACACATCACCCTTACACACACACTAACAGCACCCCACACACACACACCAACAGCACCCTCACACAGATATCAACCTTACTCACACATCACCCTCACACATACACACTAACAGCACCCTCACACACACACCACCCCCACACACACACACACCACAGCCCCACATCATACACACACACACTAACACAATCACACACATCCCACACACACACACTAACAGCACCCTCACACACACACACTAACAGCACCCTCACACACACACACACACACACATCACCCTTACACACAACACTAACAGCACCCTCACACACACATCACCCTCACACACACACACTGCACCCTTACACACACAGAACCCTTACACACACAGCACCCTTACACATACAGCACCCTTACACACACAGCACCCTTACACACACATCACCCTTACATATACACACACACACACACACAGACACTAACAGCATCCTCACACACAGCACCCTTACACATACACACACACAGTACCCTCACACCACCCACACACTAACAGCACCCTCACACTAACAGCACCCTTACACACACAGCACCCTTACATATGCACACAAGCAAATTAACTTGACCCACACACATACAGCACCCTTACACACACACATACAGCGCCCTTACACACACATAAAGCGCCTTCACACAGAGCGCCTACACACACACACACACAGCACCCTCACACACACACACACAGCAGTATATGTGTGTATGTGTATATATATATATATTATATATATATATATATATATATATATAAACATGTGGCGTGTGTGTTTGTGCTTTAGGGTGCACACCCGTATACAATAGGCTGCGCACGCCTATGTTGTTATTCTTTGGATCCAATTTGGATCCACTTTTCCCGCCCCGCCCCGCCGCCTTGTTAGGGCTCGCTGGGATGTTGCCGCTGCGATCTTCTGTTTCATGACTGGGGTCGGCTTGTGCAGTGAGCGGTCACCGGGTTGGCTCCAGACAGGTTGGTATTGCTTACTCACCAGAAATTGGTGAATATCCTGTCCAGCCTGGCCACGATGTCAGGGTTGTCCTCCATGTTGTTGGGGGCCTCTCAGGGGTGGACCGGGGTAACCCCCACCGGTCCTAGGGGGGGTAATGGGGTTCTCGTGCCATGTTGTGTGCCTTTGAGCAGCTCCGGGCCGGTGGATCAGCCGCATCCCCCTTCCGGTGCGCCTCAGGCCGCATGATTTGGGCAGCATAGCAGATTATCACCCCCCACAGTGGGTCTCAGTAGGGTCAGGAGTTGTATAATTAATTTATATTTTTACCACTTAGGCAGAATATGGGTGATTGCTTCGGTTCAAGCTTGCCTAGGAGAGAAGCTCCTGCAAAACATGTCTCTCCTCCATGGCAGCCAGGCCCCACCCCCACAATTAACTTTTTAATTGAATGATCATAATTTTAGCACATGACAGGAGGCTTCATATTTTGCATAATCTTTCTCCATAAAGAAAAGTAATGAGAAAACTAAGAACCAATCATAAACAAGCAACGGTTATAAGAGGCGTGTATCACCGAAGCACTTCCTCTTTCTTTGCTGCTCCATCACAAGATAAGTTTTGGTTATCCTCTCTCTGTTCTTTATTTACCTTAATTTTACTGTATTCTAGTCTGTTTCTGGATGTCTGTTTATTCCTACTTACTTATTTCCCCTTTGCTTTAGCTCATCCTTGGGTGGCTTCTGGGTACCCCTGTGGCATGGGCATCCACAGAAATTTTTCTGGAGGGTGAGGGGGATAATTGTAATGACATCCATGCTCTAACCCTTTTTGCAGGACCGGACTGGGATACAAAGCAGCCCTGTAAAAGAATGTAAGGAAGACATAAGGCAGTGTTAGCATGTGTGTGTATGTGTGTATAAATATATATTATTGTTATTTTCTTTTTTAATTCAAAATAAGAATTCTGTCAGTGTAAAATTGTGATTATAAGGTAAGCATACTCACATGCAGACACAAACAATATCACTGACACACACAGACAAGTAACTGGTACACACATAAACTTAGTACAAACTCTGACATGCACACAAGGTTACTTCAGACAAATTCATTGGTATATAGTGATGTCGCGAACATAAAATTTTCGTTTCGCAAACGGCGAACGCGAACTTCCGCAAATGTTCGCGAACGGGCGAACCGGGCGAACCGCCATAGACTTCAATAGGCAGGCGAATTTTAAAACCCACAGGGACTCTTTCTGGCCACAACAGTGATGGAAAAATTGTTTCAACTTGGGGCACTGCGAGTGTAATCTAATGTACCACCAGATAGGAGTGGTGTGTTAAGTAGTACTATTCTTATCAGTTTAATCCCAATGTCACGACTACTAGTGTGGTCCAGCACGCAGAAACTATGTAAACATATACATAGGCAAGAAAAGGAAAATAAAAGGACAGAGCGTAAACCGGACCATAGAATGGCCGGACTATTACGCTAGAGACAGAGAATGGTCAAAGGGAGAGCTGAGGTCAAGGAAGCCAGAAAATACACAATACCGTTTACACAAGCCAAGTCAGGGAAACCAGAATTCAGAATAACCAGGGAAAAGCCAAGATCAGGATACCAGGAAATCAGATTCACAATGATAAAGCACTATCAGGAAACCACGACAGGGCAAGGTACTGGGATGAGCTAGGGATTTAAATATCACGTGGCGGGCCGGCAGCTGCGACACCCTGTTACGTCCCCCTCATCAGGCCTTTTTTAGTCGAAGGTATCGCCCACTGTCAGTCCCTTCGGGATCCATCCCTCATTCATCTTAATAAAGGTGAGGTAATCTAGACTTTTTTGACCTAGGCGACTTCTCTTCTCAGTGACAATACCTCCTGCTGCACTGAAGGTCTTTTCTGACAGGACACTTGAAGCGGGGTAGGCCAGAAGTTCTATCGCAAATTGGGATAGCTCAGGCCACAGTTCAAGCCTGCACACCCAGGAGTCAAGGGCTTCATCGCTCCTCAGAGTGTCAATATCTGCAGTTAAGGCGAGGTAGTCTGCTACCTGTCGGTCGAGTCGTTCTCTGAGGGTGGACCCCGAAGGACTGTGGCGATGCGTAGGACTTAAAAAGCTCTGCATGTCCTCCATCAACAACACGTCTGTAAAGCGTCCTGTCCTTGCCGGCGTGGTCGTGGGAGGAGGATTACTTTCACCTCTTCCCCTGTTAGATTCCTGTTGTGCTGTGACATCACCCTTATACGCTGTGTAAAGCATACTTTTTAATTGATTTTGGAACTGCTGCATCCTTTCCGACTTGCCATAATTCGGTAACATTTCAGGCACTTTCTGCTTATACCGGGGGTCTAGTAGCGTGGACACCCAGTACAGATCGTTCTCCTTCAGCCTTTTTATACGAGGGTCCCTCAACAGGCACGACAGCATGAAAGACCCCATTTGCACAAGGTTGGATGCCCAGCTACTCATGTCCTGCTCCTCGTCCTCAGTGATCTCACTGAAGGTATGTTCTTCCCCCCAGCCACGTACAACACCACGGGTACCAGATAGGTGACAATGAGCACCCTGGGATGCCTGTTGTGGTTGGTCTTCCTCCTCCTCTGACTCCTCTTCCTCACAATCCTCTTCCAGCGTTGCCGCAGGTCCAGCAAGCGATGCTGATAAGGCTGTTTCTGGTAGTGATGGTGACTACAACTCTTCCTCTTCATGCTCATCTACGGCCTGATCCAGCACTCTTCGCAGGGCACGCTCCAGGAAGAAAACAAATGGTATGATGTCGCTGATGGTGCCTTAGGTGCAACTGACTAGGTTTGTCACCTCCTCAAAAGGACGCATGAGCCTACAGGCATTGCGCATGAGCGTCCAGTAACGTGGCAAAAAAATTCCCAGCTCCGCAGAGGCTGTCCTAGCACCCCGGTCATACAAATACTCGTTAACGGCTTTTTCTTGTTGGAGCAGGCGGTCGAACATTAGGAGTGTTGAATTCCAACGTGTCGGGCTGTCGCAAATCAAGCGCCTCAATGGCATGTTTTCTCGCCGCTGGATATCTGAAAAGTGCGCCATGGGCGTGTAGGAATGCCTGAAATGGCCACACACCTTCCTGGCCTGCTTCAGGACGTCCTGTAAGCCTGGGTACTTATGCACAAAGCGTTGTACGATCAGATTACACCCACGGCACATGTGTCAACTTGCCCAAATGCAATGCCGCCAACAAATTTCTTCCATTGTCACAAACCACTTTGCCGATCTCCAGTTGGTGCGGAGTCAGCCACTGATCCACCTGTGCGTTCAGGGCGGACAGGAGTGCTGGTCCGGTGTGACTCTCTGCTTTCAGGCAAGTCAACCCCAAGACGGCATGACACTGCCGTATCCGGGATGTGGAATAGTACCTGGGGAGCTGGGGGGGTGCCGTTGATGTGGAGCAAGACGCAGCAGCAGAAGAGGACTCAGCCAAGGAGGTTATGGAAGAGGATGGAGTAGGAGGAGTAGAGGAGGTGGCAGCAGGACTGCCTGCAAGTCGTGGCGGTGTCACCAACTCCTCTGCAGAGCCACGCATTCCATGCTTGACAGCCGTCAGCATGTTTACCCAATGCGCAGTGTAAGTGATATACCTGCCCTGACCATGCTTTGCAGACCAGGTATCAGTGGTCAGATGGACCCTTGCCCCAACACTGTGTGCCAGACATGCCATTACTTCCTTTTGAACAATCGAGTACAGGTTGGGGATTGCCTTTTGTGCAAAGAAATTTCGGCCGGGTACCTTCCACTGCAGTGTCCCAATAGCTACAAATTTTTTGAACGCCTCAGGCTCCACCAGCTTGTATGGTAAAAGCTGGCGGGCTAAGAGTTCAGTCAAGCCAGCTGTCAGACTTTGTGACATTGGCTTCTTACGCTCAAACATGTCCTTGACAGACACCTGACTGTGGGCAGATGAGCAGGAACTGCTCAAGGCGAGAGACGGAGGGGAGGATGGTTGAGAGGAGGCAATGAGGACAGCAGTGGTTAACGTGGCTGAAGATGCTGGACCAGGAGGAGGATGGCGGCTTTGAGTTTGTGTGCTGCTTGTACTCATTTGTTGATCCCATAGGCGTTTGTGATGTGCGATCATGTGCCTTCGCAAAGCAGTTGTACCTAGGTGGGTGTTGGACTTCCCACGACTCAGTTTATTTTGGCACAGGTTGCAAATGGCATCACTGTTGTCAGAGGCAGATACACAAAAAAATGCCATACTGCTGAGCTCTGCAATGACGGCATTCTGGTGGTGGCAACAGCATGCGTTGATTGGCGTGCTGTCTGGCTGACTCCGGGTGCCGATGCATGCTGTCTGACTGTGCCACTAGCTCCTTGCGACGACCTCCCCCTGCTTCCAACTCGTCTCCTCCTCCTCCTCTCTGTCTCCCCATCTGACCTTTCCCCCTGTTCTTCTTCTCTTCTAGCGGACACCCACGTGACATCCACGGACGCATCGTCATCATCAACCGCTTCACTTGTATCTGACAACTCAGCAAAGGAAGCAACTTTCATTTTTTCTGTATTGGATCTACCACCATACACTCAGAATTGGGACAGATCATTGACACTTTAAGTATACGTCAGGAACTCTGTGGCACATATTACTGACATCTGTGTGCCCTCTATTTATCCTAGTTATTTGCTTTGTGCATAGGAACTGTTGGCAGGCAGTATTATAATTGTATATGTATATTTGTTTGTACTTTAGTGTATAGAGTTATAATTCGTATGGTGATTTGGCACTAAGCACTTTAAAGGACCATTATAGTGCCAGGAAAACATACTTGTTTTCCTGGCACTGTAGTGCCCTGAGGGTGCCC